GCCAGACAGACACAGCACAGGCAGTCAGGAGAGAGAGCCGAGAGAAAGAAAGAGAAAGGAAAGTAGACAGGTACCAATAGGGAGAGTTCAGCGCGCTGTGTACCTCCGCTTCAGCCCCTCCAGGAGACGACAGTCGTTTGCTTCACACCAGCTCAAACCCAGTGCTGTGTTCATGGGGAGCCGCTCGTCTGCCCTGGCCTGGTACATGGCACCTCCCTATACAGAACAGTACAGTTTTGCCCACGACCACCCTCGTCAGAAAGAACAGGGCCAGGCCCAATCCATTGTCTGAAGCAACCAAGCATTGCCATCCCGGGGCGGTCAGCATCTGGGCTCTCTCTCTCTCCCCTTCTGCTCGTTTCCGGACTCATCTGGATGCTCTTGGGCAGATGTCCGGTACATACAATCCCAATCTTTGTCTCTGACGCCGACGGACGACGAGGCATTGCATCATAGGCCCCTTTCGGCAGGCGTCGCAATTACTCGCGCTTTTTATCTGCACGAGGTCTCGAGTCAGACGTCTTCGGCTCTGTCGTGGGGACCGACCCAGAGATCTCCATCCGGACGCGTGAGATACCGAAATCCTCGCCGCTCAACACCTGTACCACAGGTGAAAATTACCCACTCACACCCCTAGTCTCCAGCTCGCCAGGCACCCCCCTCCCTACATGGTACTCACGTATACGAGCCGACCACCTTGTCTGTCGCCTGTCCCAGTCTCCCAATCCCAGTCCCGTCCGCAACCAAGTCAAAGTCACTTTTGTTTTTGACGAGCGTAGACCTCGTCACCAGATCGAACTCTCCGATTTGCAGTACATGCATACAGCACAGTATCTACTTTTTGCGGCCACAGAACGACCAGAGCACACCGTGCCGTGCCTGGCGCAAACAGGCCACGACGAAAACAGAATTGCGCACCCCACGAGTCGAGGCGTGAAAGGTCTACACTGGTGCCTCTCTTCCTCTATGCCCCTCTCTCTCTCACTGCTTCTGGTGCTCTCTGGTGCTCTTCACTCTGTTTGTTCGACGCGACGCGTGCTCTGGGACCTGGGCTAACACACGGCAAGTCCGTCCGCTTCGTCAGGTGGATCATCAACGACGTTCCTGGTGAGGTGAAGTGAGGTGACGAGAGGTACCTTGCCAGGCAAGCTACGATTGCGGAGTGACCAGACGAAGAGTGCTGCGCTTTCGCAAGCTTCGGCATTTGTGCAGTCCAGCACACCCACTACACATCGACAATCCACTCGTCCATCCTTTATCCACCGGGGGTGCCTCGCCTCGTCCCTGGCTACATCGACACCCCATTCCCCTCCTACTTCTCAGGCGCCCTCCCACCCACCCGCTTCGAGGACACCACCGACACCCCCCCCCCTGGGAGCCACCTCTCGGCTTGTGGGACAACCTGTGCATCCCCCCCCCTCTCTCTCTTTCAACTCGGAGGACCCTCTTCTGCCGCTAAGCAGCACCTGGGATTTTGCTCCTCAGCCTTCCCTGTCTCTGGGACTTGGTCGTCCCAGGCTCGCCAGGCCAAGGGATCCACTCGCTGCAAATCAGCCCTCGGCGACCCAGGCCCTTGATTACCCCATCATTCCTCGCCGCCGCCGTCCTCGGTCTCTTCATATACGGCCACCTCCCGTGAACGGCGCTAAGATCGTACCTCTCTCGTCATAACCTTCATCGACGTACCCCCTCCTTACCCTCTCCGTCGTTCCGTCCATTGTCGTCGTCTTCGTCCGAGACGCGGCATCACCGGCACACGCACGACGCCCTGAACTGAAGAAAGGGAACTCCGTCTTGTGCTGCTGCAGAGGCGCACTTGGTACATCAGATTCGCTCTTTGCAGCTGCGACACCATCGTTCACTCTCCGCCCCCGTCTTTTTGGAGAGCTACCTACCACATCCGATCCTCACGCTAAACCTGCTCTCGGACTGAAGCCCAGTCCATCCACTTCTTTAGCGCACTATTTTAGTGCGCGAGTTCCCCAGGACGCCGTCGACTTTTCGCTCAACCAAGACGAGCCACCAACCCTTCCGCGATCTGGTGAACAGGCAGCGCTACCCTTGCCACTCCAGAGATCTTCGCTCAGGGCCGTGGCCTAGTCGCCTGTTGTCATCGACGCCCATTTTAACCATAATCCCGACTCGCTGGGTGGCCCGCGCTATCTTGGCCGCCATCTTTATACACCGTCGCGCCGCCTCACAAGTCTCACTTGCGGTGCACACCATCCTCCTCCGTCTCTTGACCGTGCCTTCACTTCAACCCAACCTCTCTACACCATTACTACCTTGCCCTCCTTCACTCCTACCTTTACGTTGAACGCATCCATCCCCCCTCCGGCCCCCTACTACCGACCTTCAGAGGATCTCCCACATCTGGCCCCAGAACTAAAGAAAAAAAAAGAAAGGATCGCCGCCAGCTACCTCGCGCCCCTCAGCTGTATCGTTGCGCCGTAGTATGTACCTGGTCCCCACGCAGCCTCATCACTTCGTTGGCAACCACGCATCGCTCCTTGCATCCTCCTCCCCTGTATCCTCGCCCGGCTCTCGTCACGGGAACCGCCCAGAAGCGACCTCCAGCGCGCTTCTGTCCACGCTCAACACCTCTATGGAACGCAGTGCTGCCGAGTACTCGCAGTCAGGTTTGCCTTCGCCTTACCCAAGCCACTGCGGCGACACCCGTTCTGAAGGATCATCTGCAGACCACTCGTCTGCTGCCCACTACTCTTCGCAACAGGAGGTTCGACCCAGCAACTACTCTACCTCGGCCACTCCCACCTCGGAGTACAGCGTCTACCCGCCCTCTGCGCGGTCAGGATCCTTCCCTGAGCATATCCACAGACCATACCATCCAGCTACCAACCCAAGCGGTGGCAGCGGAGGCATGTCGCAACAAGCAAGCAGTCCGTCTTTGCCCCAGCAAGATGGACGAAACCATCAACCCAACCAGCATCCCAAGTCTGACCACGATGTACCTATAGATCCCTCCATCGCGGGACCCAGTCCTACCTACGCTTACGGACAGCAATCGCCGTACGGCCCGCCGCCCGGCGACATGCAGGCATACCAACATGCCTATCCCCAGCCCCGTCCCGACTGGACGGGATACGGCCAGCACAGCGCTGGCCTGACGCCCGCCACCCACCACTTCCCGCCGACACCGAGCTCCGCGCCCCCGAACGGCAGGCCGACTCAGGTAAGTGTTGACACGCACAAAACGGCGCGCGCCCCTCCCGCCCCGCCGCATCGAGCTGGCCTTGCTAACCAAACAGTTTGGCAACCAGGTATACTCTTTCGTTCCGATTCCTGGTGCGCAGCAACACAAGCGGCCGAGACGACGATACGAGGAGATTGAGCGTATGTACAAGTGTGGCTGGCAGGGTTGCGAGAAGGCGTATGGTACTCTGAACCATCTCAATGCGCACGTCACCATGCAGTCGCACGGCACGAAGCGGACTCCTGAAGGTATGCACTTACCACTCCTG